TGTTGAGACTGGGATGAGGAGGGAGTGGCTTCAGGTGTGAATGCAGTTCTATTTCTATATCTGCGTGGATGACGGGGAGCTATTTTAATCCTTCTCTCGTCTCCTCGTCCCCCATCTCTTTATCTTTTTTCTTTCTTTTCATAATTAAATCAAATGACACTCCTCGTCTTCTAACAGTACAGACCGAACTAATTCTCACCGCTCTATCACAGAAATGTAATTGGGTCTGTGATGCTGCGTGATAATCAAGTATGCAATTACTGTTGAGCAAATGACTGCACATAAAGATGATACCATAAATCATCTGTGATAATCCACCTGTCAGTTTGCTTAGCTCGTCTATGTCTTTACTTTTTGATCATAAGTACGGTCCTGAAATAAAATGCTGCATCACTCTTCCCTTAGCAAACCTATCGTCTAATCCCCCTGCACTGCTTTTCTTTTGTTTATACCTCTCTTCTTCATCCTTGTCTGCCTCCCACTCTGCAGGCATCAAGGTGAAAGGGGAATAAATAAGTGCTCAGGTCGGTGGACAACGTAAAAACAGAATGAATCAGAGGTGGAATATAATTGGGAAGGTGGTTGAATGGCAGGTAGAGGAGAGGAGGGAGGGAGAGGTTTAGGGATGAAGGGCGAGATATGAGGATAGAGAGAAAGGGGAAGCAGGAGGGCAGACTAATGAGAGACCAGGGGTGAGATCACCACACACGACTTTTTTTCTTTCTTGTCATTTTGAGGACTGAAGGCCACAGAGGTGTTTTTTTTAGCGAGAAAACAAGACAAACAAAGTGAAAATGAGACGTGTGAAGGGCTTTGTGTGGAGCATAAAAGGCTGGCGTGTTTGTAACGTGTGCGTGTCCACATGTGTGTTTGTCCGCGAGCTTCGCGTCCCTGCAGCCTGAGGGTGTCCTGCCTTCTCCTGATGGAGCTGCTTTCTTTGTTCGCCCCCTAAATAGCAGTTGTCACGGCCGTCCTCCCACACAGAGGGAGAGAGCCAAAAGTCCCCCAAATAATCATCGTTGTTGTTTCTCTGTGTTCTTCGCCTGCCGGAGACCCTCTCGTCATCACAGTCGCTATCTAAGCGCTGCAGCCGTCCTCCAACACTGGCCTCGTGTTTTTATTTTTCGACATGGCTCCGCGCAGCCCACAGAGCATGAAATTGTGGTATTAATGTGCATCTGCGAAACAGTGACAGTCCTGTTCTTTCTCTTTGTCCTCTGTTTGTGTGGGTTTGCACATGCACACGCGTTTGCTCGTTAAGGATCCTGGCTGCAGCAGGGGCACATATGAACATCTCAGTGGACTTGAGGACGTTGAGAGCTGTGCGAGTACTTCGACCTCTCAAGCTGGTCTCGGGCATCCCCAGTGAGTCTCACTTATACTAAATCAATGTGCTGTTGTTGTCCTTTTCATCTGGATCTATGTATGTGCAGGCTGCGTGTGATAAAGAGGATTAATGGGTAAGCTTAAGCAAGTGGCAAAATAAAAGCATCCCTGTTATTGGCAAATACTGATATTTGGTATCAGCATAAGGACAGCTGTTGTTTTTATTTAAGGTATTGCCTCAGAACCTTCTGGAAA